GGTTGCCTCCAAATGAGAGACATAGAACCATGAAGGAATTTGAACAAGGAAAAATACAATTGTGAGCATCTTAAATGAGTTTTTTGCTTGTCTTCTGACATAGGCTACTGCCAGTGTGAAAAGCATATTAGAACCAAGAACACAGTTAAGCAGGCTCCCCTGCAAAATGGAGCACACAGCAGCTGAGTTATGAAATAGGTGGGAGACTTGAGCTTGCAACTTCTGAATTGTGTTGACTCCTACATGTAATCTGGCCTGTTTTAAACTAGCTGTAATCTGTGTTTACATGTGTTATTTTATAACAAGCAATAGAAATAACTGCCTGTTCATATTGCTGCCCAAAATACATGCAGTTCTGAAAAACTTAGTTTTAGTGTATGTGGGTTGGGATCTGGTGTTTATTGGAAGAGAACAAAGGTTACTGCCAGAACTGCATGTAGCATTAGTGCTTCCTCCCAAAGAAACTCCTGATCGGACTGGCAATCAAAATTTTGTTTCCGTCCATGTACCTGACTTGCTTTGTGAATTGGGTAACTGTAGGGGGTTCCAACTGTGGAATGTCTCTGAGAAGAAGGTACGCTTTTTTTTTTTAAGATTTCTTTTTGTTCAAAAGTTGTGTTTAAATTACAGAATCACAGAATTGTTTAGGTTGGAAGGGGCCTCTGGAGATCATCTAGTCCAACCTCCCTGCTCAAGCAGGGTCACCTAGAGCATATTGCCCAGGATCACATCCAGACGGGTTTTGAATATCTCCAGGGAAGGAGACTCCACTACCTCTCTGGGCAACCTGTTCCAATGCTCTGTCACCCTCACAGTGAAGAAGTTTTTTCTCAGGTTTAGGTGGAACTTCCTGTGGTTCAGTTTTCTGAAATTCTTCCTGAGCTGCTGGGTTTTCACACCTTGGTGTCTGTGATCAGTGCTTTTAAGGAGTGTTCAGATGGTTTATGGGTTTGTAGCCTCCCATATGGTGGGAGCTGTCAGGATCAGTGTTCCATGCTTGGGGAACCCGGAAACAGCCAGTAGCTTTTCATATACAAGAGCGGATGAGTAGCCTAGAATGGTGCTCAGAGATCTGCATATGGCTAATGCTGTCAGTGACGCTGAGGAGTGACTTAAAATGTTATTGCTGTGCTCAGCAGTCAGAGGCTGGCTGGCTAGTTTGAACAGAGATGAGCAAGAGTAGCCCTGTATTCACTTGTATTTAGAATCTGTAGTGCAGAAGATGTTACTTGAAAATAACTATATATACATTTAAAACCAGGTTAATCAGCACAGATGCCACTGCTCGAGGAATTGACATTAAAGGAGTGAATTGTGTAATAAACTATGATACGCCTCAGTTCATCAGGACATACATTCACCGGTAAGATAGCCAGCAACAAAAGGAGTGGGTGTGAACTTGGTTGACTTTTTTGAAATGTTTGGCATAGGTATTATGCACGTAAAGGGGTTTTAGCTCTGACTTTTTTTTTTAACCAGAGTAAGACAGTACTGGAATAGGGGACCAGCACCCTATTACATAGAATACATTTTACAGGAGCTAGAAATATTTTCCTGGACCGTGTCAAGAATTGGGTTTCAAGATGCTCAGAAAACTGGAAAGGCTCAGCAGCCACGAATGAGTCTTAGAAGAGTTCATCCTTTGTAATATATGGCTAGTCCTGCTGCACTAATCTCAAAAGCTCTGATTCTGAGTTCTCTAAGTCTGGAGAATTTGGAGGGCCTTGGGGGTTGATAATGGGAGTGACTACATGGCTAAACTGACTTGATGCTCATTTTTCTGATTTCAGAGTTGGAAGAACAGCTCGTGCAGGAAAAGCAGGCTTAGCTTTCAGCATGGTCCTTAGAATTCAGGTATGTCATTGGTGAGGGATTCATTCTGAAAGGAAGCAGGGAGGAGTGTGAGGAAGATAGGGTTCATACCACCTTCCATCTTCTGCAGTCAGCTGAGCTTTGTACTTGGTTGCAACTTTCTATTCAGTAATTTCCCAACTGGGTAGCATGTTCAGAAATGTGCTCATTTTCTAGCTGGTGGTGACTCTCCTTCATAGGAGATGAGAGACCCAGTCCTTACCTCACCTCTTCCTCTGCGTTTGTTTTGTTGTGCAGGAACGTAGGTTTCTGCGGATGTTGAAGGATGCCGGCATCACAGACATAAAGCAGCACTTGGTGAAGGGCAAGTTATTAAAGCCATTGGTGCAGCAATATGAGGAAGCTCTGTCTAAGCTTGAGAAAATGGTCAAGGTAATTGCAACAGGCAAGAAAGAAAATCAAATTGCAACTTATATGGTTCATTGCTACCCATGATCAACACAAGTAATTGTGTCCACGATCCTTTTCTTTAACCGAGATATTTCCATTTCAGTGCAAAGGCAGTATTTTAGGTGTATCATTGCAAAGTACTTGTAAAGGGTAGGGAAGAGAGAAAGAGGTCCTCCAATTAAAAGGAAAGTAGGCAGTACTTATGTTCTGCTTTCTGTTCTGCCGTTCTCTTTACCTCTGGAGCTAGGATTTTGGCAGCTACCTGGAGGGATGCAGACAAATGCAGAGATTAAGCTTTTTGCCGTTACAGAGTTTTAAGATTGTAATTTATAACCGTGATAACTAGAAGTTGGCTTTTCCAAGACAGGAAAGCATTTTCTGCTGACCATCCCTTAAATACCAGTGAGAAGGTTGAAAGCTTTCAGGCAGAAGCAGGATGTCATTTGACTTAACTGATGTGTAGACTAGGGATCTGTGATAGACTGTTTGTGCTGCATTAATTTGGTCAGTGCTCTGCTCTCTATTTTGGGGACTCCTGAATCAAAAGCTAAGCTTGAAGGTCTGTCCCTGAAAAATCTAATGATTTTGAGTTGCAGATCAGGAGTGTTAGAGAAGTGGGACAGGCAGAAATGATTATTAAATCCTCCCATTGCTGCTTGAACTCCCTCTCTGTGACCCTGAGACAGCATCTTCAGTCACCTCCTCGACTTTCATTTTGTGCAGGATGAACGAGCCCAGAGACGAGCCTGAATGAACGCAAACAGAGGAGGTCATGTTCCATGGCACAGTCCATGACCTACCCAGTGTAGCATCAGTTCTACACAGCACCGTAACAATGAGACATGATTCCTGAGCTGAATGATTGGATCCTCAATTTTATCACGTTAAGTCTGCTGTTATGGGCCTCGTTCCCATTTCAAGGTCAGTGGGAACAGAATTCAGTTGCTGGCTTTCAAAAAAAAAAAAAAAAAAGCCTTGAAAAGCCTTGAGGAGAACTTGACATTTGACATCATACTTGACATCATGTCCTGCTGGCATCTGTAAAACTTCCATCAATGAACAGAAGAGCCTTCCACAGTTCTTGAGCGCAGGCCTGATGGAACTGCCAGTCACCAAAGGTGAGGGCTGTGCCCTTCCTGCCTCTAAACTGGGACAACTAACGTTTCTGCCTTGCTGTACAAGCAACTGTATCTGCAAATGCAGAAGAGCCTATACAGTACCTATAGTAGACTACTGTTTGAAGAGCTTTTGTAGGCTGCAGTGACTGTAACTTTTAAATAAATACTGTATATATTTTTTAAAACATTCAATGTCCTTTAAAGATTCTTGGGTACAGGGGTAGAGATGGTGATGAGGGGAGTTTCGGTACTAGTCTTGTGCTTTTTTCTTTGTCTCCTTGTGCTTTCTATGTTCAGTCCCAGTGGTAATAGTAGATATTATTAAGTGTTAGGTTAGTGTTAACGCAGTCTACGCTGTCCCAGGTTACATACTGCATGAATATTACTGGACTCTACTAGTGTCAGCGCAAGCTGTAAATATGTCTCACTCATGCCACTGATATTTTTAGCTGCCCCTGCCACAAGGCTTGGAGCTGTTAAGAGTGTCTTACTGCTGTGTAGCTGCAGCCTCCAAATACCCTCTGAGATACTCAACAGAAAGTGCCCAGCTCTGGGGCATGCTTGCTAGTGTATGTTTTCTTTACAAAATAAATATACTTCATATTACCAATACTTGACTGGAGTAGAATGAAGTAAGGATGGGGTGAAGAGAGAACTGGGAAGCAGCTGGAGGAGATGGATGTTTGGAAGGGTAGCCTAAAGATAGGAGTAACTTGGGATTGTTTTCTAGGAGTGAAGGAAGTGTATGTCTTGCTGATGACTGGAATCACAGTAGAAAAATCTTGTTGGGCTGGAGCTGTAAGCTCCCGTGAGCCGGGCAAGGATACTCCTGTTCTTGTACACCTCTCTTTTATTTGAAAGCCAAATAAAACATCAGCCTGACTTTGTTTTTTCTTATCAGTAAGCAATTAAGGCTGGTTATTAAGACAAACCCAAGTTTCTTCCGGTGCGACGTGGCACAAGCCAGGTTAGAATTTGCCCTGGAAAACTGCTGTGTCCTTTGAAACCCGACAACCTCGAAGTCAGGGCCTGAAAATGAGCTTTCTTAGCGCCTGTCGGCTTCGGCGTTAAAACGGGGGGCGGGAGCGGGAGCGCGGGGGGCCGGGTTGCGAGCGGCTTCCCCGGCGCC